AATCTATCACGTGATCATATACAAAGTGACCTAGGTCACTTCAAAAAAAGGGAAATGACCTTGAAATTTGCCAACACAGCCATATGAAGATTGTTCTTATACAGTAAATATAAAATTTTCATTAATTTGTATAGTTATCCATTAATGAAGTCGTAATTAAAAAAAAAGGTTAAAAATATTCAAGTGGTTACGACATATCACGTTATTTTATATATGAATGAAGTTGTTAAAGATAATATATATTAATTAACATTATATATAAATTCAATTTTTCGCAATACAAATTCTCTAAAAGAAGTTCACATTGAAATACAGTATGTAATTAAAAACAGGAAAGCATTTGCTTAGATCAATCAAAGTCTTAAAAACTAAGACGATTCTTAAATAAGAAACCATAATATTTTATATGTTCTTATTTTCACAAAAAAAAATGTTTTTTCGTTTTTTTTTTCTGACGTCTCATTTTCTCTTAAATTCGTAATAATTTATTGTTGCAACTGCGGAACATTACCAATCAATTGGTTTTTATTTTGTCCTCTCAACGATCAACAATTTCAAACTTCAAAATAAATTGATAGCTTCACGACCAACAACTACTCGACACAATCAGCCAAATCAAGTAAGCAATGTACTTGTAAAGTATGAACGTTGTCGACAGGGTAAAATTAAATGGCACATCTGTAGTCTGTGATAAGTTACGCTGATTGGGTGTCAAATAAGAAGTTACAAACAAGCCAACACTAACCTAAAAATATTAAGTCCTCCGTTTAACACGCATTATAAAAATCGAAACACGGTATCACGTGATATACGCGTCAGAAAATATCACGCCTTTCTAATATAGTAATTATCGCCGTGATCTGTCACGTGCAATAAAATGTGATGGTGATGCAGAATCTGGAAACTCGTCTCGCAAAAACAAACAGGTAGAGTTTGATAAACATTACCTCACCAAAGTTGAGTTTCTGTTTGTATCAATCACGCGTGAAATTGATGAAAAACTACAAAAAAGGAATTGGAAAAAAAAAATCCTCTGCATGTTGTTGAATCCAAAGAACACATCAATTCTTCAGAGCTTTTACAGCTTTACAATGAGTTAAAGGAGGTAATTAGTTTGGGTAGATGCACAAAACCGATTTTGGTCATCACCTAGGCTCTCTGAAATCCAAAGAATATTGACTACATTCTGAACATCATGCAAAGTTTTACAATTATTTGTCGATTTGTGCAATTCGTATGAAAAGGGTGCATCAATTTCAATGACATCGTCTTCGTCGATGATACCAATTTCTTTTCCAATCACATCGTCGCTTAATGATACAGAAGATCAGGATGAAATTCCCCTTAATTTGTATTCATTTTTGATGAATCTGAGGTCGCTTCTGGAAGGTACGAGTTTATAACGAAAAAGTAAATGGAAGCCCGTCCATACCATCAGAACAGCAACAGCAACAACAGCAGCAGCAGCAACCGATCCTTCCTGAATCAAAGTGTTTCCACGGAGCAAATAATGTATCGCATCATGTGAATCAATCGTCGATTATGATGACGTCGGCTCCCGAACGTTCTGGTTTCCCATTAACCACTTACTCGTACTACAATCCTTATGATTTTTATTTGCCAATAGATGAAGCGAACACAACAACACCAACGGATGATGTTAGTTTCGGCAACTTCAGTGACTGATAAGTGGCGATATCGGGGTTCATTTGGCTTGGTGAATATATATTTTATAAATCAAAAACACACGTTTAAAGTAAGAAGGAGTAAAGTGTCACTTCCAATGAACAATACCGAAATTAATTACTCAATAAAATATGCTAAACTCATCCTGCATGGTTTATTTAATTAATCGACTTTGTTCATTAAGATCGCCGCGTAAAATTATGGAGATCTGCAAGTTTCTTTAAATAAATTCGTGTTTTTAGACTTTAGATGTCACGAAGGTTTAATTGTGTAAGTAAACTACTTGTAAATAATTATGAAGCGGGGAGGATAGGATAGTAAAGAAACTACGTAGATACTTAAGAACGATGAATACACAAACTCAAAAAGGTGTTGTTCTAATTTATCTTGTACGCGCGTACAGTCACACATATGCCATTATTATGGCTAGTTCACGATTAGGTAATATTACGTTATTGATGTGTGTGTTGTATGACTTTAACATTTTTTGGTGGAATATTATTAACCAAAGGTCTCGAAATTTCTGAATTTATTTTTCTTTTCTTATTTTACACATTTTGTTCAACGTCATAAAAAAGTATCTGACGAAAACGTCTCGAATGTTTAGATTTTTTTTTTTTTTTTTAAAAAAAAAAAAGGTACAATTGGAAGTGTTTTAGACGCTATTATTTGTCATTATTGGTAATTCAGGTCGATCATCAAAAGAAAAAAATATAGATACTGTAGGTATTAGAACGATTAATATTACACGCATTATTTGAGATATGATAAAAAAGCGCCTCCTTTTAACGATGGAACCAATAAATATGGTAACATGAAAAAAAAGTTGAACACTAGCCGCTCTTTGACATCTTACCCACTTAATCTTCTCTTTATTTCATATAGATTGTTATTTATTTATTTTTTTTGAAAGAACATTTTTCTTGGTTTAGATAACAAAAAAAAAAAAATCAACAAATATGGTAAACATTATTACAAGTGGTTATTAATTTATGAAATTTGTACACAGAATTATTGTTTTGAAACTCGTAATATCTTCATATATAAAGGAAAAAATTATAATAAAGTTATTAAATCAACATCATCCGAATTCTTGCTATGTTGGCAGAAATGAAATTTAACCGTAACGACGATTAAAAAGTACACCTAAAATATAGCTGAAACCGTTCAATATATGATCACAAGAAAAAATAAAAAAAATTTATTTATTTACAGCTAATTTCATAAGTTACGGGACAGCCGAGAATATCCGAGACTTTACCGAGAACATTTATAAGGAATTGAAAAGCCAACCACATTTTATATATGGGTAAAAAATTATGTCGCTATATTCGGAACACTGATCCGAACGTAGCGATTATGTTTTTTCTTCAAAAAATTCTTTACCGAGTTTTACCGAGTTTTTTTTATCGATCTGCAAAATGATCGTCCGTCCCGTGACTTTTGAAATTAGCTGTAATGTTAACTCGTGAAATTTGATTGGATAATTCCGTAATTACGTAGAAACTTTCAGTGTATTTAACGATGAATTGATGATCAGAACGTTTCAGACGTTTCAAATAAATTGTGTATTAGGTTAACATATAAAAAGATAGGATTATTGTCGTCAGATGCTTTTGCTGATACATCAGAGTTTACGTTACAAAGATTCGTTAAACTTTTCTCAGGACTAAACTAGAAAAAGAGGAAAAAAAACTTTCTACTCGCTCTTAAAAAGAAGTGTAATGGAACAACAAATATGAAATTGCTAGTAATATCGGCTCAGGACACAACTGGAAACGGCGGATTCGTTCTAAGACTGCACGACTGATGTTAACCCCAATACCTTCTACATAAGATTCGTGAGCATCCATGGTGTCAGGTAATTGTATGTATTGAAGGATATACCAGTAAGACATGTGGGTGCTGTAATCATATCCATCGAAAATTGGGTGGATCTGTCGCCCATTTATGTAGATGAGCTTGATCGGGATATCAATGGCGCTCGAAATATATTATTTCGCTATCTCACCCTGCTACATCCCAACCAAAACCAAGAGCCGGTTTATGCCGACGCTTGCGGAACATGTATATTTTCTTATTAGGCACGATCAGAAATGTCAGGTTTGATAAGGAATGTATAGGTTTAATTGTAAACGGTCAATTAGAATAATAGCGATATCACAGTAGCTGGCTTTTGATAAAATTTTTTTCATATAGGATAGTTTATTTAATTAAAATAATGTAACTTATGGTATTTTATATACAAACATAATGAATTTCGTTCTAGTAAAGTTTTGATTGAATTTTACTTAAAACTAATTTTCGAAAGGATTGTATTTTTTACCAAAAAAGATTAGAAGTGCTCACTTAAGATAGAATCAACTTTATTATACGATAAATGAAAATTTTGAAAATGAATTTTTTGGAAATAAGCGCGAATTACTTTATAATTTATGATGCATTATTTCCTATTCGACGAAGAGAATAACCATATTACAGGATTAATGAATGGTAAGAATCCGGGCAAGTCCTCAAAGTGAGATTAAAGGTAATGGAGTAGAGGCTCACGCCAGTCCAAAAAAAGATGAAAGACCGGTCTTTTTGGACTGGACCGATCTAACCTAACACACGACCCGGAACACTGGTTCCCGACCATTACACGTGTTATTCTTATAATTCACCAGATTACTTGTAAGTTCTTCCTCGCCATAGTTATAATGCTGATCCTAAGGACTGGACAACTATGCTTGTGAAGCGAAAGGAATCTCTGATAAAGGAGTCTGACACTTGTACTCTCTCTTATAAAGGGATCTGCTCTCACGTGATTTAATAAAATAAAGTATGAAAAGGATTTGCAGTACTAGGATAATGATAGCGATTGTTAACAATTCTCCAGCCATAATTATGGTCCAACCAAAACACGTTCTCATGGGAAAAAAGTATTCATAATTAACGCCAAAAGTTTAATTCTGGTAATGATCATCAGCAAAATAATAAGAAAATGACATAACTTGTATTAGTAATTGAAACCATATGTGTCAAGAATTGTACTTTCTACGTGTCTATTTTAAGCTATATAATACATGAAATTTTAAAATGCAATTTTACATCAGTTCCTTTAATTTGAAAGCAAGGGGGGTTACGTACCACAAAATTGAATAAGCATATAGATCAATTTATATAATATGAGAAAATACAAAAAGTACTATTTAATGAAGACTTGATAATGAAATTCATTTAGCGCGGTAATTTGCGAATGATATCGTCCTCTTCGACGACTTTGCATGAATTAAGAGAAAATATGTTTCAGGGTTAAGTAATGGACGCATTCGTTACGGGAAAATTAACGACTGAACTCACCAATTGTTTCCTTTTCCAAAGAAGTGGGAGTATCACCAACGGCGTATGCCCGTTTATTTGAGGGTTTTCTTTTACCTAAATTTCTTATAATGAAGCCCTCTTTCTTAGAACCGTCTTTTTCATATTCAATCTTATCTGAAAGAATAGCGAAAAAAGTGTTTAATGAAAAAAAAAAACATGCGGAGTCAAATAGTAAGAATTATACCTTCTTCATCGTATTTATTCATTTTTGATATTTAATTTGTCGTCGTAAAAAAATTTGTTGTAAATCGGACGAAATTAAAAGTTCCCTACTTAAATATTTTAATGATTATGATGCGTTTAAATTAATCTTGGTAATGATCAGCAAATAGTTATTCCTGGAACCGAAACCAAATAAACTTAAATCTAAGGCTCCTAAGAAAAATTAAAATAATTTTATTAGCACGATTTCTGGTGAGTACTTTGAACATGGTCTTAAAGGAAATAACCATCACTTATACTCGAAAATGGCGCCACTTTGTATTATGTCATATTGGAAATTGCTTGAATATTGTACATTCATCTAGCCATTAAAAAGTTCCCATGGCATTATTACTTCATATTTTTTTTTTTTAGTTATATGCCAAATATAGATTAGATAGTTTTCAGCATCTATTTATTTTAGTTAATGTCATCAGTTTTACCAAGATAAAAATAAATCTGATTCTTATTTGCAGACCGCAATAAAAAAACAGCCCAAGTGAATGGAAATACATGTAAAGAAAACCACACGATGTCGTAATGTTTCAATGGCGCAGCAAGGGTTGATTCGCTCCCGTAAGACCGGTCCGAAGAGAATGAAATATCGGTCTTTTTGGACCGAACCGGTCCGGACCAGTGTTGGAATTGGACCTTGTCCAATTCCCAATAATGGACTATTGGACTTTGGATTTAATGGAGATGTCCAATAATTTTGGCCAAATTTATAATGCTAGCCTAACTTAAAAATTTGAACGATAAAAATCGTTCTTCTTGAATGATCCATAATAAATTCGTTCAAATAGAACGATTCTACTGATCTGACCTTGATTTTCAGATGACAGAGAGCTTGAAAATTAATATTACAAACATTTCAAAATTACTTCATCCTGCTAGAGTTCAAAATTCTAAATGGAAATATCTAGATATTTATATTAAGAGTTTAGTGAAACCTAATTATTTAATTATTTGTCAAATTTTATATCAAGTAATAATAATAAAATTCTAACAAATATCAATAAAAATGATTTACATAATATATATTTTATTAATTATGAACATAGTTAATTAATTTATAGTTGTTGGATGAAGACTATTAATGGACTAAATCCATTAGTCCAATAGTCCAATGGTCCAAAATTCCATTAGTCCAAAAGGCCGGACCGATCCAACCCTAGGCGCAGCAAAAAACACTGATTAAATTTTTTTCTTCCAAAGTAAAAAAGAGATGTTTTCCTTGATGGCTTATCAACAAATTTTTGCGTAATTTTTTTTTTAAAAAATAAAATTCGAAAAGACAAACAAAATTTTATACTTCAAATCTAACTATCTAGTATTAATAGTTTCTAATTTTCGTCTCTTCTTTTAATAAATTTTAAGCAAATGAATGTTTATAAAATAAAATTTTTCTTCTAAACATGCAGTTAGTTTTTTGCCTTGAAAGTTACATATCATCATGTTTTGTTAATTTTAAATGCTAGAAGCATTTGAAAGAATATTTTTCAGCAAACTTACTCTTGTCTTAATTCTTGATTGACCGAATAGAACCGAATAGAGGAAGAAAATTAATTTTAATAAAAATTATATATATATATATTTATAACTTTATACTGTTACATTAAATTTAATTTCGCCCAACATTCCATAATGTTGTATGTAAATTGTTTTCGATATTTGCATTTAGTCCTTTGAAGAACATTTTTCCAGGTCAAGTTGTCACGATGCAAGGATTGACAAAATGGAAGGATGCCAGGATGTCCTAATAATTATTTTTTTTTTTTATAAATACCTACCGGAAATTCCTAAACAACTTAACATTCACGCTCGCTGAATTCACCTAAAAACTTTCCTTTACCCTTCGCGATAATTTCGCTTTCGCCGTTTTAACATTATAATTTTCAAATTTGTAATTTCGT